ATGAGTGAAAATATCGATTCACATACAAATATAATGGTATACCCAAATGAAGAAAGTCATAAAATTAAAGATCGAAATTTCGGATATTTAATAACAAATAATATGAACTTGCAATAATAATTTTACAGGATAAAATTATTTGGAATTTAGATTTTTTTTTTTTTTTGATAAATAAAAATCATATTTTTCATAGATTGTATTCCAAGAAATATTTTCTTTAAAATAACAAAATATTTTCTAAACGTACCAGCCTATATCCTAAATAGTGGATAAATTAAATAAAAAATTAAATTTTTATAATATCCATCAATTTCTTCCCCAATCTTACATTTCTGAGGATTGGATCTCGAAAACGAACGGTATTGGAAATCAATGAAAAGTTTATTTGTTGGGTTATGTAAAACAATTTTTTTTAATGTATTAGTTTTTAAAATACACAAAGCGAAGAAACATTAGTATACTGTTAATTTATTAAAATTTTAAAGAAAGATATAATTAAAATGACCTTTTTTTTTTGTTAAATAACACCTGTGCGACAGGATTTATACGTACTCTTCACATGGTATATTAAATTTGACTGCTGATCACTCGGCGCTGACTTATTTTAGGAAAATTATCAAACTTTTGGCTTACCAAATTTAAAATTCCCATTCCATCAACGAATAATTTTCTTATTTCAATAAAAATAATTTTTGTGTCACACATAATAATAAAATAAAATCAATTAATACTTACATATGCAACATTTAGGAGATTTACCAGTTATATTTTCTTTGTAGAAGCCGTATTTAGTTCATATACTATTATTGCATTAATTCCAAGCCTTCAATAACCGTAGTATGAACAATCAGTTGAAGAATCAATAACGAATCTTGAGGGATTTCTACTTTGGAAAAGCTTAGTTAAATGAACTACGACATAATCTGAGTTCCATTAATGAATATTTATTTGCATAAGCTAATGGTACACGTTGAGGCCATTCCTATGAAGATATAATAGCATATATATGATATTTTCTTAACTAATTGAGGTCAATATTTCGTTCTAAATTAATACCTCGAGAAATAATTAAGGTTCATTTAAGCGAACGTCGAATAATTTACCCCTTAAGAAATTTCCATCAACAATAAAGTCTATCCAAAATATAATCAATACTACTAAACATCATAAATATGCGAACGTGCAATTAAGGCATTTTCCTTCGTCGGCTTGTTAATATCACGTTTATGTTATATAATATTTTATCTGAATTGGAGTCTTAACAATGTTTGAATCCGAAATATAAATCCAATATTATTTTCAATAATATAAAACAACTTTTGTTTTTAAGAACTTTCCATTAAAATATAAATGTGGTTGAGTCATTTGTCATCATGTAACAAAATAAAGATTGATCTTAATGTCACATCACATCAACCATATTCCTGTCTTTATCAAATGTCAACGATTTATTATTTACTAATTTAAACAAACAAAAATTTTTATGTAAGTCATATGATACGCATGAAACTCCTATAATATTAGAAAACCAATTGAAAATCTTTCTTGAATCAATATAGAATATTATTCTAAACGAAAAAGGCCTAAGCGATATATTAAAAATAGATTTCTTGTTGCCTACTTTTGCAAATAGGAGGATGCCTTCTATTTGGCAATTGGATATCGATATACTGTGTTAATAATGCAGCAAATGCAGTGTAATTATATCAAACATATCGGAAATTTCAATATGAAAGTTTATCTTACATATTTATTTTATTTTATTTATTTTATTTATTAACGGCATATACAGCATAGTAGAATAGTCTTGTACCGAGGGAGGATATTACATGATCAAGAATTAGATGTATTTTGTAAATTTTTCATATCAGGTACGGCAGGAACAATGTTTTTTGTTAAAAGCCGTGCAGGGTTTATTAAATGTGGCGAGCTACGAAAAGAAAAGAACATTTGCTTGGACACAATTTTGTATTGGAAGTATAAGGTACGATGGGAAAGGTGTGCTCAAAAACTACTTGTCTCTTTAATAAAGGACAAAGAAGGATAACTGCAAAATTGCAATATATTGATCTTATGAATATTTTTTAAGCCTGAATCACTTACCGTATATAAAAAAAAAATATATAAAATGTTATCTCGATTTTCATTTTCCAAAATAACTAAAAATATGTTAATTGATTTCTGCCTATTGGCTTTGCATTATCATCGATTTACAATAAAGCTGTCGACTGTTAAATTTTTAAGCTAATTTTGATTAAACTTTTATGTTGTTGTTATTATTGTTAAATACAAAAAAGAATTCTTTTAATTAAAAATTTGTTGTCATGCACTTTCTTCTCGATCATCACGTCACGTTGGATAATACGATCCTTTAAAATATTTCTTTCTTGGCATCCACTTCACATTCAGGGAGTGCATAATGTCCGTGACATATTAACATAACAGATGAATTACTAGATTTAGAATTTTAACATAAGGTTTATAAACTGAATTATAAAATATTTATATTAGAATCACTGAGATTTCCTCTGAAAGTCATGGCTCGCGAGGTAAATGAGCAATTATATCTTAGACTTATTGTTTAGGATATGTACAGTATATATAATTTTTTTTTAAAAATAAGACAGTTTCATTTGCATAGAATACGTGAAATATAAAGTCAATTTCTCTCCTTTTTCTACTGAAACTTTCCACAACCATTTTCTTATTTTTTACTATTTTTAGTAATATACATGCAAAGTAAGCTTTGTTGAATATTGTACTATCCTAGACGATATTTTGTGATAAAATGATGTGTTGTTAACCAGGTGAGTTTTATTGAGATTTGTACTCGCTTTAGAGAAGCTTCGGCGTAAAGAGGTTAATACCGCGTTATAACGAGGTTATGTTTACATACCGAAAGCTCCCAGATTCTAAACCATGTCCTAAAAATTTTTTGCAAATGAGGCAAGTTTTTTTGAGTTTTATTTGTTTAGGTGAATCTTCGGAGATAAAAGGTTAATCCTGCGTTTGAACGAGGTCATGTTTACATACCGAATACTCACAGAGTCTTGGTCCCTAAAGATATTTGCAAATGTACCGTGGTGGTAACGGGTAATAGGATCTTAGGGCATGAGACCGGAGAAAAGTTAGCACATCCAAAGGAAGCAGTATTTTTACCGATATCATCATGTAAGTATACTTACTTAATTAACGTCTTGTCATCCTAGCAACAGGGTGGTCGAATATTGACCCTCATTATTCAGCCATGGAAGAAAAAATAAATCCTAGCCAAAGGAATTGAGGTTGTTAAGGGAAAGGAAACCATCAACGCCGTTATAGCACGATAGGCTTACATCTTGTCTCAAAAATGAAATTATTTTATTTTATATCACGAGTCTCGTTGGTGATGCGGTGGCAGAGGTTGACCAAGTTTAATTTATATACAGTGGTCGAAAAAAGTAATCGGAATCACGTTTTTATTAATTAGACGATAAATAAGCGTCATGAACGCATACAAATTTGTACACATGACCTTTACGATCCCGTGAACAAGTTTACTTAAGGACACTTAATAGGGTATCTTATTACCATCGCCCTCAATTACTAGATCTAGCCTCGATTTCATACTACGAACTAAATTAAGAAAAAGATTTGGTTCAATTCCCTCCCATTCCTCTTGAATTATTTCACAAAAAACATCTACAGTAACTGGTTTTTTTTTAAGAACCAGTTTGTTAACCTTTTTCTCCACACGCCCCTTCAAAATCGACCATAAATTTTCGATCGGGTTGAGGTCTGGGCTGTTCGAAGGCCAATCCAACAACCTTGAACAACGTTCTGAAAGAAGTTTCTTGGTTTCCTTGGCTGTATGCTTCAGATCGTTATCCTGTTGGAACACCCAGCACCTCCCCATGATAGAATTTGCATTTTCAAATAGGTTTTCTGTCAAAATTTCCCGGTAAAAGCACCCATCCATTATTCCTGTAAAAAGAAGAAAGCCAATTGGACCTTTTGTTTGAAAAGGCACCCATGCATGAACTTTGTACGGATGTTTCACCATAGGTTTGTGTGGAGACTGTGTACCAACTTTATGGAAGACTTTCTGAGTATTTTGAAACATCTGGAATGTGGTTTCATCGGAAAAAACCACCTTATTCCAATTTTGTCTTCTGTATTTCATAACAAACTTCACTCTACGCTGCTTTTGTTGGTCAGTTAGCAAGGGTATAGTTTTTGGGACAGTACTAAAGTAATTATGATTATTAAGTTCATTAAGCACAGTCCGGTCAGTTACGTTAAGGTTGGTATAATTTTCGTTCAAAATTTTCGCAAGTTCAGTACATGAGTAATATTATTTGCTGAAATGAGACGACCAAGAAAATGACGTTTTAGGAGAAAGTTTCTTTGAACTACCGGAGCGAGGTAAGGGTTTAAAGTGTTGCCATTTTTAAGTTTTTTGACATAGTCATATACCGTAGAGCGTGGGATAGAGGTTAATTTGTGCAAGTTTTAGCATCATAGATGCCATTGCTCCATAAAGTGCTTACAATTGTATGACATTGCTCAAGTGTAACGTTTGCCATGGTTGCTAAAAAAAAAACTTGGCAGGTAAAACTAAATAAATAAACAAATATATCGATCATTTACTATTATGGTCAATATGTCATCACGTGAAATTTCAACTTGATTGGCTTAATAATACGAGAAATTTACATTTTATTGCGATGTATTTTTTTCTGATTACTTTTCGACCACTGTAAAATAATTAAAAAATTTATGACCTTATCAAATAAAATTAAAAGTTAATTAATTATGGAGCGTAATTAATTATACTAATTATGGAATTAGGCCAGGCTTGGCAAAAATTATTTTCTGGATTCCCGCCTCAGCACGGTTATTATTTTACATTATCATGTGACTTTATAAATAGTAGCGTATACTTTATTTTTACAATAAACATGATTTTGCAGATTTTTATTACAGTTTTACTTGAAACTGTTATCTTCAATCAATTCATTTTAATCATTGTGTATTTGTTCTCAAGGATTTTTTTGCTGGTAATAAAAATTTGAAAGATATTTAAGCATCGCATTAATATGCATTAATTGTATAAATTTAATGTAATACTAATAAAAAATGTGTAAAAAATAAATGGGTGACCGTGTCAAATTGAAATTATATCTAAAATATTAGGAGGAAATCATAATTTGTATTAAAATGAAGAAAGAATCTTGTAATGAAATTTGTTATTTAAAATGTTGCTGAGAAATAATTAAACGATGAAAATTCTTTAATATTTAACGCTATATAAAGATACAGGTTTGATCT